CTGTGTTTTTGCTAATTGGCAAGATCTCGTCACATTTCGAGGAACGGCACATTTGTTCATTCAGAGTTCTGCTTGCCTGCACTTTCAGCGATGTTCTCCTCACCTTGTGTCTTGCCTCATTTCCTTCACTCCCCAGCTTGGCTGAAAATTTCCTCCAACCAGTAGATCTTGGAAGCTGTCCAACAGGTAGGAGGAAAATGTCATTGGTTGGTTGATAGACTGACTGACCGGTTTACTTTATTTCTGTCCTGCCTCTCTCCACAAACGAGACCCAACTCAACTCAGTTCCATAGCAGCAAGCGATTGCCACATGAGAGCCTGTGTTAATCTGTAACTGGTTACCATCAGTGGTTTCCAACCTTGGGTCCCAAGATGTTCTTGGACTGCAACTCCCAGAAATCCTGCCCAGAACAGCTAGTGGTGAAGGCTTCTGGGATTTTGAGGCCAAGAACATCTGGGGACCCAAGGGTGGGAACTGCTGAGTTACATCAACAATAAAAAAAAGATTCTTGGGGATGTTTTAGGCATCACCAGTGAGGACGGTTGGCTTACATTTTCATGGACTACAATTCTCCCATAAAGACACTTATCTGACTGGGTATCTCCAGCTGGAGGATGGGAGTCCAATTACCCATTGGGCATCCCAGCCTGTGCAGCCTTGGGCAAGCTGCATGATGGTCCCAGGGCACCCTCAAGCAAAAGGGGTAAACCATTTCTGAGTACCCTATACCTAGAAAGCCCTGTGGAGAGTCACCACAAGTCAGAACTAACTTGACAGCACATACTGATTAGGATTATAAAGACACCTCACAAGGGTGTGGGAAAGGGGACATTCTGCTTAAAGTGCCCCCAAGATTCTTCTTTTGCTGTGAGAGTCATGAGGTCACTGAGACTGAGGAGCATGTTTTTGAGCCTTTTGCTGTGAGAGTCACTGAGACTGAGGAGCATGTTTTTGAGAAGAATCATGGTGTGTCCCACTTCCATGTGAGAACAGTTGAGTTACAGGAGGCTCAGCACCAAGAGAGAAGCTTTATACCTGCCCCAAGTGCACACACCCCCACTCTTTTTGTAGAAGATCAGTAGGAAGAAGCTTTATACCTGCCCCAAGTGGCCCCCACTCTTTTTGTAGAAGATCAGTAGGACCTTGTCCATACGGAATTTCACAAATTCTGCCCATGGACCTGCAATTCAGTCATCTGTGAGTGCAGGGCAGAAATGACCAATAATGAAAGCACAGGAGTCAGAAAACTCTTACCCTCTTCAGAAGATCAACTCCCCACATGTCCATGTGTGGTTAAAATCAAGGGGCCACATCACTTTCCACCACCTCCTCCTCACTTTGGGGTGACAGTCAAGGGGACACATCACTTTCCACCACCTCCTCCTCACTGATCTCAGAAATCTTGTGGACTACAACCAACTGAGACAAAAAGTGACCCAGGTCAGTTGACAATTTCTAGAATCCGCCAGCCGTCAGAGGCACATGGGATTCTGGAAACAGCTGTTCAGAAGAGATTGTGTGTGTTGCAGTGGACAGTGTCAAGTTAGGACTCAAGAGCTGTTGTTATGTGACATCAAGTCACTTCCAAATTACGATACAAATGCAAAACTGGGTGATACCTTTATAGATCACTAAAAAAATCATCATCCAATAAACAAGCTTTCACCGAAACACCACTTCATCAGGTTTGTACCAGTACAATATGAAGAATGTAAATGAATGTCAAAGCTTGCGTCAATGGAACCACTTCCAAGTAAATGAATGCCAAAGCTTGCGTCAATGGAACCACTTCCAAATGATGGCAACTCTATATTCACAGAGTTGCCATATTCCATTGACCTTCAAAAAATCCTATCATCAGGAGCCCTTCTTAGGTGTAACTCAAGGTCATAGTTTCTTTATTAAGTCAATTCATATCTTACCACTATGATCAGTTATATCTTCATCTTTTCCTGTTGTCTTCAATATTTCCAAACATTACTGCCTTTTCCAAGTCTTGCCCATGGTCTTGAGTCTTCTCATCTCATGAGATGCCCCAAGTTGTGTAGAGTTCAAACCTCAGCTTAGCCATGGAAGCTCATTGAGAAGGGCTGGGAGTAATCCTTGAATATCTCACACACTTCAAGCAAACCAAATCGGGTCATCCTAAGTCAGTATGTGGCACATAGCAACAACAGTGCAAAAGAGTAACCTTGCCCAATTTTGATAGAAATATCAGTCTGATGCGGGAGATACTCCACCGCTATGGTGGAGAATTAGTGATCAAGATGTTATTCTTCTCTGCAAACCTCAAAACTGGATAGAGAACAGAGTGGTGGCCTCCTTGAGCCCTATGTCTCTTCCCCATCTTCAACAGAAGCCTCTCAAAGAGTTTCAGTTTCACCGTCTATCAATAAAAATTCAGGAATCCACTGGAAGTCTCTCGCACTTCAGGCTTCACATCTGAAGAGAGAGGGGAACATACAGTACGGATCTGAAACCGTGACCCTCCCGGCATGCAATGGGCAAACATATTTCCATTTCTTTACATCACCTCTGTGCAGTTAAAACAGCCGTTCAAATTTGAAGAAGTGTAGAAACACTTTTTAATGTGCCACATTAAATGCTTTATAACACCACTCTATTGCTTCCTGTCTGCTGAGCGCTGACCGGTAATATTTTGAATATTTGCCTGCCAGAAACTGAAATTAATTAGTTCATATACTTAATGGCAGGAAACTGAGGCACATATAACTTAATTGGTATACAAATTACACAGGGCTCTTTTTTTTTTAAAAAAAGCCCTCTTTCATAGCCATAATTGGCAACTTTGTTTTTGTACAGTTCGGGAATATTACTTTTTTAAAAAGTTCCTATCTACATTATCCATAATTAGGCATGACAATGTTGCCACACAATGGGACATTTATGGCATTCTTCGTTGGGTTTTTCAAAGTATGAGAGATATTTAAGGAGTTCCTTGACCACGTTTGAAAGGATGCAGACAACGAAGGAAGGAAGGAAGGAAGGAAGGAGCTGATGATGAATGGAAGGAAGGAAGGAAGGAAGGAGCTGATGATGAATGGAAGGAAGGAAGGAAGGAAGGAGCTGATGATGAATGGAAGGAAGGAAGGAAGGAAGGAGCTGATGATGAATGGAAGGAAGGAAGGAAGGAAGGAGCTGATGATGAATGGAAGGAAGGAAGGAAGGAAGGAGCTGATGATGAATGGAAGGAAGGAAGGAAGGAAGGAGCTGATGATGAATGGAAGGAAGGAGCTGATGAAGGAGCCAAGAGAAGATTTGAACCCAGGTTTCCCGAGTCCTAGTTACACCCTCTATCCACCACCCCACCCTGTACGTGTTCCATGTACATATAGAATATAATTCTGTTAATCATGGGCTCCATTTGTCAACACATGCGGCTGTGAAGAATCTTCAGCATGCATAAGCTTGGCACATACCAACAGCACAATAATTCGTGACACCGAGAATATATGTGTGTTTAAACTCTGTTTCTATGGCCTTTCGATGCACTGCACATCCAAAAAGTGACTGCAGTGGGCCATTTAGATGCTGCTGTATTGAACCCAGACGCAGAGGAAAAAGCTCAAGGAATCAAAGGCACACTTAGCAGTC